GCGTCGCGAAAAGTCGTCGAGGCTACGGCGGAGCCGACCTCCAGCAAGCCGATCCAGGGGCACGCCGTGTCTGGAAGCGCATTCATGTCGAGGTATTGCCTCCGGACCCTGGCAACGATGATCTTGAGGGCATCATCTTCCGAAGTGCGATCTCCATGCCTCGGAGATGCGCAGAGGTGGCGCCGGGTGCGCCATCCACCTGCACGCCTTGATTGCCCTCCAGATGTGCGCCCCTGCAGGGAGGAAGCTCTTGGCGGTGGCCCGTGGGATCGTGCTCGGGATGTTCTGCCGAGGAGGCACCCCGCCGCCCTTGCCCTTGCCCTTGCCCCCGCCTTGGCCTTTGGGGGGTGCTGCAGCGGCCTCTGCGCGTTTGCGCGCATCCTTCTTTGTTTCGGGGTGCTGCAGCAGTTCGGCAGCCTCGCCGATCTGGTTGGCAGCCTTCTTCTTGTCCTCATTCACACGGTCCTGGTCATTCCAGTCGAAGCACTTGATGGCGGCGTCGATCTGAAGGATCGCTGCCAGACGATGGCGAAGCATGCGTCGTCCGAGCAATGGGTTATATGCTTCACCAAGTTCCACAGGACCTCGAACGCCGTCGCACCGCTCGGCAACTCCACCTCGAGGTTCACGGCGAGGCGCCGGAGATCCATGATGCCGATGTGCCAGAAGGCGTTGCTAGCTGCGAGCTCCCGCAAGCCCATCCAACGCCCGCTCCGAAAGCCCTCACGGCATGAACAACTTGCCCTGGATCTTCGGGGTACTTCGACAGCTGGGACAATCAAAACATCCAAGTGGAGCTCAACGTCTTGATGGCATCCCCTTGATGTCGAAGACGCTGATCAGGCATGGCTCCGAGACAGATAAATCTAATTCAATGAAGTCCGCGATGTAGAAAGGGGCGAACGTCTTCGTGCGGACTGGCCACGCGAGCACGCAGGAGTCGCTAAAATGATGGCCTGCGATCATGTAGCGGACGACCACGGGATTGTTGACTATGTTGTGGCGCACGTCGCCGAACATACCCAACCAGGCATGGCGCAACGACCCGAAGCCCGCTAGGGACTTCTCGGCATCAGCGAGCAGCTTGTGGTCAGCATCGCGCACCATGTGGTTCCAAGCGGATGGTGAGCAAAATGGAGGGCTCGGGCACGTTCTAACCAGACTCTGCGAAATCCAGTGAATCTTTTTCCGCGTCGGAGTGGTAGTTCGCCTCGTTCGGCAATGTGGTTGTCGTTGGCACGCTGGTAAGAGACTGGGGTACCGCGGAATACTGGTGCCTCTGGTCAAAGTTATCGTATTTCCCCATTCAGAGCTTGCCTCTGTAGGGGTCCTAGCGGATTTAAGGGTGGGTGATGTTTGCCGCCGATTCGGTGGCCGGGCCCGGGTGCCCGGGTGCCCGGGCACCCGGGTGCCTGGGTTCGCCGCCGATTCGGTGGCCGGGCCCGGGTGGCGGGGTGCCCGGGTGCCCGGGTTCGCCGCCGATTCGGTGACGGGGCCCGGGTGCCTGGATGCCCGGGTGCCCGGTGCCCGGGTGACGGGTGCCCGGTGCCCGGGTGGGTGCCCGGGTGCCGGGTGCCCAGGTGCCCGGTGCCCTGTAGTTTTGTAGCCTTATAGCCCTATATGCGTATCGCCCTATAGCCCTATAGCCCTATAACCCATATAGCCAAATAGCGCCCAAGAGCCCATATAGCCCTGTAGCCCTAAAAAGCCCTACAGCCGTAAATTGATTATGATTGTTTTTTTCTCTGGTATCATTCATTACAGTGACGTAGAACGTCTCTGTCTTTCGGAATTTCTTTATGCCCTTGACCTGGCATGAATTTTTCTGGTGCCCGTTCATGTCTTCGATGTGTTGCGTGGTGAAGTTCCCTATGCAGTGCCCCTTGATGACCTGTGTCAGCTTGGGCGTGAGTTGCCACCCTTCCGCAGCCAAGCCTGATTTGTACTGCATGCACGTCGTCAGGTTGAAGGCGCTGCGCCTCACGACGTCTTCGCCTGTCCCACAGAGGCCCTTGGAGTCCTTCAGGGCCTCGAAGAGGTGCAGCTGCTCTTTGAAAGGGGCAGCACTTCGCTTCTGGACGTCTGATTGGGGATCAAGGACCTGAACCATTGAGTACGGCTAGCCGCACAAGAAGTGCAGCCCTCGACGCAACCTCGCGAACCCAGTCGCGAGCGAGAAAGCGCCTTAGGGATGCGCCATCTCATCCTCATCCGAGATGCTGTCCAGCTCGCATTGCGTGGCCTTTCCAGTGGCCTCCACAGGTTCTGGTCGCCTGCCAGACCCCTGACAATCCGCTGGCCGCCATGGGGCCAACAAGGTGTTGTGCGCACGCGCCAGGACAAGTCAGCAACGCAAGGACAAGGAGGGAGGCTGTAAGAAGGAAGAGCGGGAGGAGACACTCGGCACGACACAATCCATGCTTCAGGGGGTTGCGCTTGAGACGCGATAGGTTCCCCGCCTGCAGGTTACAATTCAGAATTGATCATAGGGGTTCAAACAATGACATAAACAGAGCAACTCGGAGGTCCGCGCGGATTCCTCGGATCGGCGTTGGACACCCCTCCTTGGCGCGCGGAGCGCGCCAGAGGCGGCGCCGGAGGCGCCGCCAGGGGGCTCCAGCACCGATGCGAGACATCCGCGCGGACCTCCGAAATTGTCTGTTCATGTCATTGTTCTTTCCTGTTCTTTCCCATGTGCACCCCGCAGAACGATCCCTCTCGGATATCCGCGGCGCGTGTTGGAGATCCGTGCCTCGCTCTCGGTTTGTGCCCGCGGCCTCAAGGGAGCTCTCGCTGCCACGGCTGGGCGCAGCTCTCAGAATTGACGGGCTGCACGTGAGGGAAAAGACGGGGTTCAAATACAATCGCCGCCAGACCTCTGGCGGGACCATTTTGAATGAATTGCTGTCTAATCGCTGGCCCTTGGCCTCACGAGGCCCTGGCCCCAGGACCGCGGGAGGCTCGGCGCCCATCCCATCAAAGGGAAATAGCACTGCAGTCTATAGAGTTCGTTAAGTGCGGCGGGGATTTGGGCCCCAAAGAGCCCCAGACAAAGCCCAGGGGATATTGGCCTGACGTGGCCTCGGAAATCCCGCCGGGGATTTTGGCCCGACGTGGCCTGGACGATACCGCCGGGGATGTTGGCCGAACGTGCCCTCTCAGATCAGGGAAACAACAGATGGCATAGCACACCGAAGACAAGCCCCGTAGTGCCTCGGGGCTCAGGCAAGGAAAGGACTGGCAAGGGAGGAGGGGCCCAGAGAGCACGTCCAGAGTCTGCGCGTCGAGGCTATCTGCCCGACCACACCGGGTCGCAGGCGGGTCTGGTTGCCACGGTTGGACGCGACCGTGAGAATTGGCAGGCTGCACGCGAGGAAAACAACACAAATTTCAAAATACACCTCTGCCAGACCTCGGGAGGGACCATTTTGAGTGAATTGGTTTCTAATCATTGGCCGTTCAGACCGTTACGGTATGTGCCAAACGTGTGTTCATATACAGTCATTGTGCGTGCCCACCCAGAGCCTCTAAAAGCCTACCCCCTTACCAGGCCAGCGGAGAACCAGAAGGCTAGCAGGTGTTTTCTTTGGCCCTAAGAGGCCTTACGGCCACGGAAAAACAGTTCCGAAAGGCTAAGGCTAGCTTTCGGGATCGCCGAAAGGTGTGGCAACGAGAAAGAGTTCTTGCATTTTACGACTGCGAACAAGCATTCCGCATAAACCTCATGAGCCCTACGGGCCCTGCGGGCCCCAGGAGCCCTACGAGCCCTGCGGGCCCCACGCTCCTTACGGGCCCTACCAGCCTTGTAAGCAATATGGGCCATACGAACCCCATGAACCCCATGAGCATGAAGGGCCCTACGGGCCGTACGAGCCCCACGGGCCCTTCAAACCCCATGGACCCTTCGAGCCCCACGGGCTCTACAACCCCTATGAGCCTTACGACCCCCACGGGTCCTCTGCGCCCTATGAACCCGAAGGGCCTTGCAACCCCTACGAGCCCTGGGAGTCCCACGAACCCTACGAGCCCCAAAGGCCCCACGGGCGCTACGAGCCCTACGGGCCTTACAAACCCTACGGGCCGTGCGATCCCATAGGGCCCTACGGGCCCCGCGAGCCTTATGACCCTGTGAGCCCTGCAGGCATTGCGGGCCTCACGAACTCTATGCGCCCTCTGAACCTTACGTGCCCTACGAGCCGCGGTGCAAGCTATGTGGTGCATGCGGTGCATGCTATGCGATGCAATCTACGCGGTGCAAGCTATGCGGTGCAGGCTGCGAAACATAATCAACATACCAAGTGAGAGTCTCTACGTGGAAGCGCTCGCCGACCAAGGTTTCTGTATATGTACAGCTGAATGGTTTTGGTATATACAGCTGTATACAGCTGGAAAGTCGACAAAAGAGGCGGCAACCCGGCGACAACGAGGCGGCAACGAGGCGGCAACGTGGCGAAACTACGGAGAACCCATCCGGCGCACGAGGCGGCAACGAGGCGGCACGGGCGGCAACGAGGAGAACCCTCGGCGGAGCCACCAGGCGCTGAGGCGGTGGCAACGAGGCGGCACGGGCGGCAACGCGGGGAAGCCTCGGCGGACTCGCCCAGCGCACGACGTGGCAACGAGGCGGCAACGGGGCGGCGCGGTCGGCGACGTGGCGAATCCCCAGGCATCCGCCTTCGCAAAAACATGTTTCGGGAACCTCGGCAGTCAAGACAATGGATGGGATGAAAAGTTTACTCCGAGGGGCGCGCATTGAACAATCAACATGTCAGAGTTTTGAGTCGTACTCTGCAGACAGAACATCCCCATTGTGTCCTCTCCCAGCCCCAAGGATGGAACGCGCACGGGGGAAGCGCAAATTCAGAGAGTCAAATTTTGAACCCTCGCCCTCGCTACCAAGCAAAACTACGTCGCTCGAAGTACGTGCCTCACAAATTGCAGGCAGCTCGGTATGGGCTGGCAGCGTGGGTGCCCCAAAGCGGGTGTAAGTTTCCTCTTGCAGACGTGCTAACTCAAGACACTCTGGCACAGTCAGATATTGTATCAGACCCGCCCGCGGCACATCAATGGGCAGCCAGCTGTCTGTCTACACAGAGAAGGTCGCGCGGCCCTCCGCGGAGGCTGACCAGAAACCGCCCGACGTCGTGAATCAGGACGGGGGCCATGCTGCGAGGAGCTCGCCCGGGCTGGACGACGAGCCAATGTCGCCAGTCATGTCGCCGGCCATGACGCCAGCCATGACGCCAGCCATGACGCCGGCCATGACGCCAGCCATGACGCGGAGGAGCCAGAAGAGTGGCCTGGCGCAGGTTGAGTTTAAGTCGGGCCTGTCCCTCTACAGGAGGAATGTTCAAACATATACCAAAAATAGTCTGGGGACGACTTTTGGACTATTTTGGGTCAGTTTTTCCAAAGCATCCTGTGGTGTTGGGTCCTCGTTTTGAAGAGACGGTGACCCGCGTCTCTCCTCCTTCTTCCTTCCTCCTCCCCCTCCTCCCTCCTCCCTCCTCCCTCCTCCCCCTCCTCCCTCCTCCCCCTCCTTGCCTTTGCTCTCGGCACACCTCTCACACGTTTCGTAGCCCCATAGGGAGCTCCACCGAAAATTCCAGTGGCACAGCCCGCATGCGTCCGCCACACCCACATAGCGATTCGTGGCCCCATAGGGAGCTCCACCGAAGGCCCCAGTGGGGGGGGTCGCATGCGTCCGCCACACCCAGCACAGCGTTTCGTGGCCCCCTAGGGAGCTCCACCGAAGGTCTCAGTGGGGGGGGCGCATGCGTCCGCCACACCCAGCACGGCGTTTCGTGGCCCCATAGGGAGTTCCACCGAAGGCCCCAGTGGAGGGTGGCGCATGCGTCCGCCACACCCAGCACAGCGTGTCGTGGCCCCATATGGGAGCTCCACCGAAGGCCCCAGTGAGGGGGGCGAACGCGTCCGCCACACCTAGCACAGCGTTTCGTGGCCCCATAGGGAGCTACACCGAAGGGCTACACCGAAGGCCCCAGTGGGGGGGGCGCATGCGTCCGCCACACCCAGCACGGCGTTGCGTGGCCCCATACGGAGCCCCACCGAAGGACCCAGTGGAGGGGGGCGCATGCGTCCGCCACACCCAGCACAGCGCTTCATGGCCCCATAGGGGGCTCCACCGAAGGCCCCAGTGGGGGGGGGGCGCATGCGTCCGCCACACCCAGCACAGCGTTTCGTGGCCCCATAAGGGGGCTCCACCGAAGGCCCCAGTGGAGGGGGGCGCATGCGTCCGCCACACCCAGCACAGCGCTTCGTGGCCCCATAGGGAGCTCCACCGAAGGCCCCAGTGGGGGGGTGGCGCATGCGTCGCCACACCCAGCACAGCGCTTCGTGGCCCCATAGGGAGCTCCATCGAAGGCCCCAGTGGGGGGGTGGCGCATGCGTCCGCCACACCCAGCACAGCGCTTCGTGGCCCCATAGGGAGCTCCACCGAATGCGTTGCTCACAAAGACGGTACTCACAACTGCATATGGTTGGGTTCTTCGCCAGGCGAATGTGAATGTTTTGAACATGTTGTATTCGTCGTCCAAAATCTGCCTGTAGGGGCACATGCCAGACCTAAAGGTTGAGTGGAGGGAGTATTCCATTACACTGAAGTGGTTCTTCCACCCCTACGCTATGGCAATACTTTGCGTGCAGAACGCGTTCTATATGGTCAACACCGTTATCCCGAATATATCGTGGCTCGGTTTCATCTTGACGTATTGCATTGCGATCTTTCCGAGCAGGCCTTGGTACGCAGTGGTCGTGGCCATGACTGGCATCGTGCCGAGGTGGGCTACAATCGTCGGCGGCGTGCTGTTTGCTATATTGTCGGCGGCGGCGTGGTACATGAAGAGGACGGGGACCATAGGACTGGTGGTGGGACTGGTGGTATGGACCGCCCTGGTGTTCAAGTGGGTGAAAAAACGTTGCTTCATGCTGGCGTTCGTCGTATGGCTCCTGTTCGTGCAATCTGCCATAGTCATGATCCTTACATACCACCACAAGATCGTCGATGTCTTTGGTCTGGAAGGCGCCGCAGCAGGCCTCGTCTTGCCAGTTGCCGCGGCCGTGTACTCCGGCGGGGGATTCACCACAATGTGTTGGATCCTGAATCATTGTGACACCGAGGGTGTCCCGAATGTCGTCTTCTCCCTGTATGTCTGCGTGGTTGTCGGGACAACGCAGATTCTCCAGCTTTCGGGCTTGGTGGAAGCCGCGAAATATGACGACATCGAGGCCGGCCTCAAGCAAATGGCTGTCACGGTAGTAGTTGCTACCGCCGGAGATATTTGGAAAAGGGCTGTCCTTAGTGGGCGGTTCTTGAGCGCGGTGACTGGAGGGAAGCTCCCATGCGTCATTGATGCTGAGCGGGATGTGTTCATCCGATCCGGTTACTTCGTCGATTTCACAGTGTTGCCGTCTTTTCTTTTCATCGGTGTGTGGTGCTTAGCCATTGGAGTACCCTTTGCCCAGCGTCCCCTCTTCTGGATATCCTTCCCTATCTTCGTCCTCATGTCTTTGTTTTCAGATCTTGCCATGTTCATCGTTCACCGAATCTACTACCCGGTGGAAAATGAGACCTTCATGCAGACGATACTTCGCTTGCAAGAGCCGGGGCAGAATTTCCCTGCCCTCCAGATCGATAAAGGCCGAAGGTTTGAGCACTATAAGAAGACCGGTCAGTTCCGCAGCTTACAGGCTGAAGCGAGGAACTCTGGGAGAGTCTCGCAGCACGACACTAGCATCTGGCAGGCCACATGGAGCCAGCATCCCATTTTCCACGACGAACTCGTCTGCATCATAGGATTCATGGTCCTGATGGCCAACATGAGCAGGATAAGCTTCACCGCCTTCTTCGGCCAGTGTGGCATCACCGTGGCGGAGCACCTGTGTGCGGACTTGTCCAGTTGCGCTGCCGCGCGAGCCCGCAGCCATGGGAGGTACGGTTGGACGGAGGCATATGATCGAGGTCGGTTCTGGGAGGGTACCCTGATGTTCTTCGTGTTTGCTGGCTGTTCTTGTGCACACTGGGGGAGGGTACCCTAGGACGTTCAGTGTGTTTTGGCTGGCGGAGGGTCTCGCGTTCTTGCAGGATGTTCTTCTTTCCTAGGTCCGCGCGTGAGGCGAGAGGCGCGTTCATAGGTCCGTACATAAGTGCCATGGAGGCGCTCTCCCCTGCGCGTGAGACGAGAGGCGCAGACCTCGTCCAGCAAACTGAGCCCACGTCGGGCTCGGTGCGTCGGGGGCCCCGGTTCCTGCGCGGTACAGCTCGTGCTTTGCAAGAGATTGAACCGAGGAGAGGACAAAGGCAAGGACCGGGCAGAGGGAGGGAGGAGGAGGAAGAGCAGGAAAAATAAGTAAAATCAGAAACATAATAATAAGATGAGGAGGAGGAAGAACGGGGAGAGGAAGAGGTGGTGGAGGAAGAGGACGACGACGGACGAGGAAGAGGGGCAGGAACATCTTAAACTGTTCAGCAGCGGGCCGGCGGATATGGATCCGAGGAGTGCAATGCGGCCGAGCAGTGTGGTGGTGCATAACCAAGCGCGTCATCGCGCGTTGTGGCCTTCTGTTTTCATGCGTTTCACTCCTGTTGAGGCCTCGCTGGCACAGGTCTTGCTAGAGTCAGCCATCTGCATTTGGTCGGCTTGATTTCTTAGTTACAGCATTTTGATGTAGTGCTTGCCCAGCTGATGTGTCAAGCTTCTAGCCTTGATGCGCCTGGCAAGTTGCCGCGACAGCAACGGCGAAGATTGGTTCCGTTCCTGTCGCAATGTGCAGACGCACCAAATACTTCAATACATGATATCCGAGTTGCGAGCCCCTTCTTGGCTGCAACGTCGGGAGCGCACAAAGATAGCGCACGCCGATTCGGAGTAGCCCGATTACTGCTGTGGCCGTGGTAGTCTCTTTTTTGAGTTCGAAGTTGGGCATCGGCATGTGACACTTCACGGCATGTGTATGTGTGTATGTGGATAACCCAATCCCCAATCAGTGTTTGCTTGTATGGGCTCTTTTGTATACCTGAACGATTGGATGAGTCTGACGAGGCTGTGCCACGCTGCTGCCCGTTGCCGCCTCGTTGCCGCCTCGTGCGCCAGGTGGGTCTGGCGACTAGGTTTCGCCACGTGGCCGCCCGTTGCCGCCTCGCTTCCGCCTCGTGCGCTGAGTGGGTCCGACGAGGGTTCGCCAGCTGCTGCCTCGTGCGATGGGTGGATCCGGCGAGGGTTCGCAACGTTGCCACCCGTTGCCGCCTGGCTGCCGCCTCATGCGCTTGTTGGGTCTGGCGAGGTTTCGCCACGTTGCCGCCCGTTGCCTCCTCCCTGCCGCCTCGTGCAGGGTCTGGCGACGAGGGTTCGCCACGTTGCCGCCCGTTGCTGCATCACTGCCGCCTCGTGCGCTGTGTGGGTTTGGCGAGGTTTTGCCACGTTGCCTCCCGTTGCCGCCTGGCTGCCGCCTCGTGCGCTTGGTGGGTCTGGCGACGAGGTTTCACCACGACGATGCCGCCCGTTGCCTCCTCGTTGCCGCCACGTGCGACGGGTGGGTCTGGCGGCGAGGGCTGGGCCGCGTTACCGCCCACTGCTGCAGCGCTGCCGCCTCGTCTGCCTCGTGCGCTGGAAGGTTTCGCCACGCTGCCGGCCTTTGCCGCCTCGTTGCCGCTTCGTGCGTGGGATGGGTCTGGCGACGAGTGTTCGCCACGTTGCCGCACGTTGCCTCCTCGTTGCCGCTTCGTGCTTTGGGTGGGCCTGGCGAGGTTTCGCCACGTTGCCGCCCGTTGCCGCCTCGTTGCCGTCCTTATCTTGCACCACGTATACTGTGCCGCAGCTTGCACCGCACAGCTTGCACCATAAAGCATAAACATCCATTGTACAAGAACTATAGGTTCGGGGCAAACGCTCGCTAACCCACACACAACACACATGTATTCAACGGTTCCCGCACCGCTTCTGGGTTTATCTCGATCCAATCGATCCCCTTCGATGTCGATTCATGCCGGCTCGATTCGACCCGATTCTGGTATTCCAGCGATCAGGTGCCGCCCGATGCTTGCATGGCGTTGTTGTGCATTTTAGCGCGGCCGATTCGATTCGACTTCGACTCCGTGCCGCAGCCCGATTAGACGCACATTTTGAGTCGATCGGACATACCGATTCGGAGCCGACTGAACTTGCAGTGTCCCACGACATGTGCCTCATCGCTAGACCACTCCACCAAGGCTTCAGCAGTGCTGACACGCATTGTGAAGAGCGCGTGGCTCGTACTTTTGCCAGTGGCGCGCACGCTTACACGGAGGGTTCGGGGTAACGTTAT